GCCATAGTTCTAAAATGTTCAAAGGTATCTGCTTAAAGCAATACGTCTGTTTTCACATACAGGTCGTGATATTTCCCCATGTTTTGTAATTCAAAGAAATACCACACTTTTGTGCATGTGCATAATCTCCATCAGTGAGAGAATTTCCAGTTAACTTGCTGAAAAATCTCCCTGTTTAGGGAGTTGAGTCAGTTTAAATTTGCATTCATCATCCATGAAGTCATAAGGATAGACCCCCTTTCTCAATAACAGCTCAGCCTGAAATGGGATTGGAAATTCCTCTCTTAAATGACAGAACTGGGATGGGTCTTTCTTCACCAGGTTTGTAACTAAAGTATCTAAGGGAGCTGAAAGAAGCTGGAGAGAATCAATGAACCTTAAATTTCCAATGGAGAAGGAAATGTATTTCTCCATGTTGTTAGCTAAGCAGCTAAGCTGTTGGTTCACTGATTTGTCTAGATGTTTAATGAGGTGGTGTGAATCGTAACCCTGTAGATTGTGAGAAATGATGGGTATGACGCAATCTGGTCCCTTTCTCTCTTTATTACCTGCTTTGTTTCTACCCTGATCTCCTTTCTGTCCCCTTTTCTCTTTCTTACTCGTTTGAAATTTCAGTTGGAGATTGTAATCCTTATGAGCAGCACCACGATAATTATTTCTTTCAAACATGTGATCATGGTCGTGCACCTTGACAGATTCTGAATCGAAAGGTTTTTGGCAAACATTTTTAGTTTTTCATTGATGACTTTCTCTTCTTGTAATAAAGTGTTAACAAAATGAGAAATGACATCAGGTCCCCGGTACACTACTGATGGTTTTGTAAATTCCGGATTTGTTCAGACAACTTTATAGCAATAACCAGAAGGTTCATGCTGTTGATAGAGGGTGGTATTTCCTGTTTTGTTACCCTCACTGACTTTTCTGGTCAGTGCCTCAAAGTCAGCATAAATGACAAAGGGTACTTATAGCTGTTTCTGTATAGAATCAAATTGAATCCATTTGTTATATTCATTTGGTAATCGGATCTTCTGCGTAAAGTGCTCAGAACAATAAATGGAATGATCCCCTAACAAACCCACCAAATCCAGTCTGCTAAATCGATGTAGACAACGCCTGCAGTAAAACTTGGTGCTGTCCCCCATATACCGCCTCCATGGTGTAGTGGTAAGAGCGTCTGTCTGGCGAGCGGAAGGTCGCGGGTTCGATCCCTGGCCGCGTCATACCAAAAGACGTTAAAATATGGTACTTGTTGGTCTCTGCCTGGCGATCGGCATTAATGGGTACAACAAGGACTGGTCGGCTCGGAGTCAGTATAATGTGTCTGAGTGGGGTATTCATGCTTCACTGTGGCATGGTATCTCAGTGGGCTAGCACTATAAAACCAGCTTAAGTCTGGGCTAGTACAAGCAGCCACACACACACATACACACGGTACCCATGAAGGGCCACCTGCTCGTGGTGGGTGCTGGGTAACGCTAAGCGCCCTTCGACCCCCCGTTGTGAACCCGGGGGGATATTTGGTCCACCAACCTGTTTACCGTGGGTTGCGCCCCTGTGTCAGTGGAGGAAGGGATTCTGGTGGTTGAGGGCACTGGTTCCAGGAACAGTGTTCCTTTGCCCAACACACCACTTCGGCCCTGACTTCACCTAAACGGGTGGTTGAATTAGCCCGGTTCAACCAATCGGCTGGTTATGCCGAGACCTGAGCACTAAATTTCATTGCTCTAATATTTTTTGGCTTGGTTTTATTTGATATCAATATTGACATGTTTTGTTTTTGTATATCTACTATGTGATGTATGGATTTTCAAATTTGTGAAAATTTGCCTAGATGCTGGTGCCAGAAGGCGGTGGCTCATGGGCCAATCTGGTGGAAAAGTTACTTTTTGATTTTTCTGCTTGAGTATATCATCCGAGTATCCTTGGTGCTGCAAGTCGGAGACCCGCTTGTTTTTAGCATTGTCCTTTGTGATACTCCCCTGTCCACGCACTCACCCACCCACCTATCAAGTGAGCCGATCACATACACGGAGACCTTAAAATATGCTGCTTGATATTACCCTGCCTGGCGTTCGGCAGCAAAGGTATAAATAATGAACTGTACATCCCATTTTCAGTAAAATGTGTGTGAGTGGGCTTTCCATGTGAAACTGTGACATTATACATTTGTAACTCAGTGTATTCGCAATATAAAATCGGTAATAACCGGACAACAACGAGCAGTCACACAAACATATCCATGCACGTGACTATATAACTGTAATACTCTCGAAGCATAAACCAGCTTCACGTCGATGTGCAACATGTCAATGGGTTGTGCATATTCGTCGTCCACGCGACGTATAAAAGATGATCGCAGAGCAAGGCTCTTTTCTTGGTAAAAAGACATGTCTATATCAGATGGCCAAATGGACGTGGACAACCAACCAGATGCCCCACGTCGACCCCGTGACGACCCCAGGTGCCTTGTCCACGTGGCAACATTTTCATATATGATATGCGTGCATATGTTTCTTTCTCCGGGTGCGAGACGATTAGTGCAAGCGGGATGCAGAGATCAAACCCCTTTTGATATGAAATCTGAGCTGTTTTGGCTCCCGTCACACGCACGGGGCTTAGCTTCGGGGGGCTTTAAGGGTGGGAAAACGTGACGACACCCGCACGTGTCGCACATGCCGTGAAAGCTAAGACACGGGGCTTTCGATCCATAGTAACAACAAAACCCTGTGGTCGATGTACGAAACATAACAAGCATCTGCAGCGTGAAATACTGCCGTAAATCGGGTCAAATCGGGCTTGAAAGCGCCCCGTCTTCGCACCCGCTAAAGACAGGTCACTTCTGATGACACCACCAGTTGGCCCTGGGAACCAGCTTCACGTCGATGTGCAACATGTCAATGGATTGTGTATAGTCGTCGTCCACGCGACGTTTAAACAACAACACCCACCGTTGCTGGCCCGTGATAGAGGGCCCTGTCCACGCACTCACCCACCCACCTATCAAGTGAGCCGATCACATACACGGAGACCTTAAAATATGCTGCTTGATATTACCCTGCCTGGCGTTCGGCAGCAAAGGTATAAATAATGAACTGTACATCCCATTTTCAGTAAAATGTGTGTGAGTGGGCTTTCCATGTGAAACTGTGACATTATACATTTGTAACTCAGTGTATTCGCAATATAAAATCGGTAATAACCGGACAACAACGAGCAGTCACACAAACATGTCCATGCACGTGACTATATAACTGTAATTCTCTCGAAGCATAAACCCCACCTGACCTGATGAGTGAGTGAGAGAGTGAATATGGTTTTACGCCGCTTTAGCTATAACCAAGCAATATCACGGCGGGGGACACCAGAAATGGGTCTCACACATTGTACACGTGTGGGGAATCGAAGCCTGGTGGTCAGCGTGACGTGCGGACGCTTTAACCACTAGTCTACCCCACCGTCCCTGACCTCATATGATCAACAAGCCATGTTGTTGTTCTATTTTGGTGTCATGGGCAGTGTATGTGGGTTTGATTGGCTAATTGGTTAGTAGTAACGTTCCAAGTGGTTTCTACCTTACAACTAGCTCCGGTACTGCAACATTTGAAACAAGCTACCAGGTGTCACGCAGTTTCTCAGCTGCAGTCGGTATCCTTTTCACGAGAACAAAAGTCGGATGAACATCATTAAAACAAATCCAAACTAGGAATTGCGTGGATGAGTTGCCGGATATTTGCTAAATATAGATGTTTATTTCATATGATTCTGAAGCAGTAGCACGTTTGTTCTTCATCGGCCATTTTGTGACGAAAAAAAGTTATAGATTTATGATATATTAGGTTGGAATATTAAAACCAGTCAACGAAAGACAGTAAAAGGAACCACAATATCGCAGTTTTAGAAATAAAAGTAATCTGTAAATATAAATGTTTTACTATTAACACAATGCAAAATAAAAACAGGCTATAGAATGGCAACAACCGAAGGCGGATCACCATATTAGGGAGGATGGGAACTTACAGTACATTTGCTTCCTGCATGGACCCTAGCTGGATTTACACCATCCCTTTAGCTGTTGGCGGTTGTGCTGAAATTTCGCCACAAGTAAAAACACAACTGTACTACGATTAACGACCGATGGGCTTAAACTGAATGTTTTAGGACTTACGTACCCTCTCATGAGGGGTTAGTTCCCATGAAGTAGAATTGTAAATACACAGGAATGAGCTTGTGTCTGTGTGTGTGTGTGTCTGTGTGTGTGTGTGTCTGTCTGTGTGTAGGGTGGGGGTGGGGGTGGGGTGGGGTGGGGGTTACCTTCATCTCGAACAAAGGCCATTCATTGTTTTAGCAGGCACAAGGTTGATACGAAAAGTTCAAGTGGTTAAGAAATGAAATGAGTCTAAGCTGATATTTTGACATTTCATGACATAATTTTTTTGATGCTGCCACGAATATCACAAGATCAAACGTATCACATGAAATATATCTCAACTATCATCTCGAAAGCGATTGGGTGGGTCTATCCAACGATCTTCTTTAATCTACCATGCCAACCCTCCAAGTAATACTAAGATACATGATTTTCAAATCATGTATGGTCTACTTAAACTTATTACTGACCCTACAAGGGTCACGCAAAACTCTAGCACTTTGTAAGATATTAGTAGAGTAGTAGATTAATCAATAACTTTGGCGAGCCGAAGAATGTACCATCCCCGTAGATAACTTCACCAGATTGGTTCTTGTCGTGAAACCCAGTATCTTGTCTGTCTCCATCGTCGATCACCAGGAACTGTTCTCTCGAGTCATTCCCACACTTGTGGACAACCACATAACTATTTGATTCCAAATCTTATAAGGAAGTAACAAATACTTACAAATACTATTCCCAATAACACACATAGGCGATGAATTCAGTTATCATTAAGCACTTGTTACATAACATATGATAACTAGAATAACATATCACTAGAATATAAAATGGTAATTTGGTGCAGCTCTTTTGACACGTGAAAAGCAGCTCCGACAGACTGACATGTTTCATTAGCAATGAGGCAAACGGCCGGAAGTATAAGTGCAAGGCAATGTCTTCAGCTTCCAGGTATGAAAAGCTTACATGGACAAAACTAAACATGATTGTAACGTTTCATGCTGAAGTCGTGTTTGACAGCATGTTGCAACAGCTGTGATTTCTTTTGCTTCGTGTACTGTGCAATATTTACAAGTTGTTGTTTTCATTAATTTGGAGGAGCAATACTTATTGGGAATACCGATTATATAATAATTAATATTAACTATGATTACATACGTATCCTAAATTTTCACAAGTTGCATGTACATCTACATGAAAACATGTTACTTTGATATTTGTAGTAAGCCTAAACTTCAATGTTCCTATTTCAGAAGACCCATTTTTCATGTATACAAACGAGACAAGCATTACTCAAATACATTAGCGTACACTCACCCATGGTAACGCGTGTTTGTAATGTGTTACGAAACATTTCTAAAATAATCAGTGGTTTTGCAGAGTTCACACTTAATATGGAAACAATGAAATCCTCAGCAAACACGTTAATCAGTAGAATCATGGGTTAAAGGACAAATATTCACTGATCACAGTTTACATACAGTGCATAAACCAATTCATCAATAACGAAAGTATATAACAAGAAATTAAGAATGCAGCCGTGACAATAATAATAATAATAATAATAAATGGATATTTCGTATGCGCCATAGTCCATCCAGAGCATGCTCAAAGATTCACTAGAGTTCAAGAGGAAGATATGACAATTCGTCAAAATGACCATGAGAATATTTCGCAGTTATAGGTTGTAGACGTTTTTGAAGATGATGGTTTTGAGTCCCGATTTGAATGCTTCTAAGGATGAAGCATTTTTTATGGGAGTAGGAAGACTGTTCCATAGGGTTGGTGCTGCAAATTTGAATGACCTATGGCCAAAGTGTTTGAGACGAACTTGGGGAACTGAGAGAAGATGCTGATTCTGGGAGCGGAGAGAACGGGCAGGCATATATGTTGACAAAATCTCAGAGAGGTATGGAGGAGCTCGGCCGTGTTTGCAGCGGAAAACAAAAGTGCAGATCTTGAAATGAATTCTGGCTTCAGCCGGCAGCCAATGCAGACTCTGGAGGATTGGGGTTATGTGACAAACATCTAATGATGATTTTAAGATCTATGTATGTTTTTCTTCAGACAAAGTCAGGGACGTACTTGAAACCATAACAGGCACAGTAGAGTCTTTTTGCAGGCTTACATACAGTTTTACTACATAAATATGTCAATAGAAAAAATGTCGTAAGTGTAACAGGGACACTGATAGTAACGTATTTACATCTATTAGCTCCTCTAACCTCTGTTCCTATGTTTTTCCTTTTATACTCAACAATGCTTGGTTCATTTCTGTTCACCGACGTACCTAATGGTATTCCATGAATTACGGTATGTTTTATGTTATTCCAATTTATTCTCTGCTCATTGTGAGTTTGAGACGGTCATTTCTCACTGTCCATTGTGGGGAAAAATGGCAAAAGCCGTTCTTTGTGGATATAGAGCATTCATTAAAGTGATGCATAGTAAAACAGTAAGTGAGTAATAACAACATTATCATAACATGTTAATAAACTGTATCAGACTGTACTCAACACAAAACGTTCCTGTTGGGATACCGAGTTGAAAAACATCCCAATGGGTCGTGGGAGCCTAACAATTTGAGCGTCATCGTGTCCTGAAGGGGCAAATTGCTGATCTCAACATATCACTGGATTTCCCCCAGGAATCCGTCATAAAGCTTGAATAACATGGGTTATGGTGACAATAAATAAGGAGCATTAAGATTTATAATGGTTGTGTGCACAGTTCTCGTTGGTGTTAATGTCGTAATGACGGTGTATCATATGGAAGATTCCCTTTAGCATCACTAGAATGGAAGTCCCCAACGACCACTTCTTCTGTTGACGTCTCTGAGTCAATCTGGGGTGCTGACGTCCACGTTCTGGTAGGATGACACATGGGATGACGCTGAAAGAATAGACAATAAGCAGCTGGGTCTCAGGATGTGCTGTACCCTGTCACCATGGTTACGGTGACGCCACCCCTACGTGCTACAATGGTTCAGACGTCATAGACACAATGTCAGCAGATACATTTTACCAAAGACCGTAGGTATAGCTAACAGTATCCTCCATCCTGACAATCAAAGGCTGTGTCCCTCGCTTCTACACCTGCTCACATCTTATGCTATTAGTCATCCCGATATATCTAACATATCCAGTGTTACATGAACGACTGCGATATTGTCGATACTATCATATACCTTAATTACTCTGACTTATTCTGTACAAACTATATTGTGCCCAACCATGTAGATGAATATCTAGTATTAATACAGATGACACTTTAGAACATATGTCATGTGTGGGCTTACATTCACTCCATCCGTTTGCTGGTTTGTTGGGTTTTGCATGCAGATCTTCAATACTCAGAGTGATCTCTACTTCTGTTGCATTGTTGGTTTTCTTCACCTTGTTCACCTTTGAATACACATCTTAAATGGAGAAAAGGTGTATTTCAATTCTTGCACACACATACAAATAAACATCTTGGCACGTGTTAAATTGAATCCCACATGGAAGTATATGTACACAATATATACATATTTTAGGAATATCGATACTGCAATCATCCAAGTGAAAATACAGATCCGGTAAAGAGGATTACCCAATCATTGCCCCAACTATATTGCATGACGTCCCATGCCCTCCAATGCGACATTCAACTTGTTAATAGAAGAAGTCAGAACAAGTGTGACCCCTACAACGCCCACAAAGATTTCTTATAGACCGGGGAACCTGTCGGAACCGGAACCGGAAGCTGTCGCATTCCTCATCGAGCGCTTACCCAAGTTCTTCGTCTCCCGAGTTCATCCCGAACTCATGATCGGTCATGACATCATCACGGTCATGACCACATCACGGTCATGACCACATCACAGGCGTTAGAGAAGTTGCTAAGTACAATATGGATGTAGCGTTGTCATGTTGAAATGCCAGTCAACAAGACAGTGTTGTAGACTCCGCCTGGTCCATTGGCAGCCGAACTGTCGTGGTAGAACCTTGACACATATAGGAGTCAGTATTTCACTACGCTAAATTCAATTCTTTAATGAGTCTTTGTAGGTGAAAAGCAAACCAACAACGCTTTATACCCGAAGTCAAACATTTAATCAATTGACGATATTGTCAAACAATTATAAATGTTCATTTCCAAAATCAATAAACCATTCATAAGATAGTCATTCCAAGATACTGATATTCTATACTTTCACAATTACAATTTAGAGTTGATACACACCTTGTGTAGACTCTGTTTGGTCCGGTGTAGTCGTATCTTTGGCTCCCGTTGACGATGAACCTCGAAACATAAACAACAAAGAGTAGTGACAGTGAAACGCCTTTTTCAAATCAGATTGGGTCAACCTATGGTCAAAGGGAGAACAGTCCACTCACAAAAGTCATGATTATAATAGATAACCCCTGAGTATGAGTTATGTATACAAGAGTTATTATACTACAGCTGAAAAGGTGAAATTTTGGACACTTGGAACAGTGTCATGGCAAATAAGGAAAAACACCAATACTCGTGTACTACTACTACAACGACTACAAATACTACTACTGCTACTACGTCTACTACCACCACCGCTGCGACCACGAATATTACTACAACTACTAGTGCAACGGATACGACTACAACTACTCTTGTCACTACTCAAAGCAACGCAGTCTTCTTATGTACAATTATCGCTCTATCATAGGCTGGTGTACATGACAGTGTGACCTTGGCTCCATCCAAGGCAGACTGTGGGTAGCTGGTCAGATGAGGAGGAAGGGACGCTGAAACATGCACACTGTATGATGAAGTAAATATATATTGTATGATAGTACTGGAAAATGTTATGTTATCTAATATGTAGGCTGTGATCGTTGGAAGATAACAAGTGGAACTCACTGTTCTTCACTCATATATGAGACACTTACTTGCTAACACCCCAGCCAACATCACCATGACAAACAGTAACCTCTTCATCTTAATCGGGCGACAATATGTTGCCACCTGAAAATAGTAAACAGGCAAACTATTAACATGTATTCCCCTTTGGATTAAGCTCCATAGCAACAGAAAACTTAATTGTCGTTAAAAAATATGTAGGAAACACATCAAAAACCAAACATATTATTCTGGTCTTTATTCTGCGTGCCATGTTATGACTGTCCCCATACTATAATAAGAGTCTGAAATATGGTGATACGATCACGAAAATTGCGAAATAATTGAGAAAGTACATATCAAACTTATAAAGTTTTCAACAGGTCTCACATGGTGGCCTTCAACCCCCCACTTCATGGTGGAATGATTTTCGTATCAAAGTCAATAAATACATAGTGGAATATCTGTTATAGAGCAGTAGCCATTTAACGAAAAGAGTGTTGGCTTCTCTAGTTAAACATAACCCCCACAAATTCGTAACTGAAACAGGCTTTTGGCATAACCTGACAAAGAAACATCTTGTCAGAAATTTAACCCCCTGCCCTAGCTTACGAACATCACTATCTTTTTCATAGTATTTATCAGTTATACCATATTTTTGTAAACTAGGGATTCTCCTTAACACCAAAATATCATAATACGTAAGACCTCTATCATGATTCATTGTATCGTTTTAAATGAGGTCATCATCCCGCCATCATTATATGCATCTGTTATAGAGGATAATAATGTTCATTTTAACTCGAGTGTGTGATATTTTAATATATAACCATGATCTTGTACTCTTGTAAAAAGCTAGAATCCTGTGATTGACAACAACATACTTTCTGCATGCCTCCAAATGAGAATGCTTTGTAAAATATACCAAAATCAGGAACAGTCTATCATATACACGGCACAGCGCAATGAACACTGTATACCCAACAATATATGTTGTTTTTATCCGTCAGTGGAAAGCCTTGTTCAAGCAATGATTCTATTGCTAAGTGTACAAGTCGAAATCTTTTAAGGAGGGGTAGGGTAGAGGATGAACCTTGTATGCGGTATGTCTCAATAAGATGCAACTGACGTCAACAATGCAGTGTGGATAACGGTAAAATACACGGGTGGGCGTGAAGTAATAGCTGCAGCAGTAAGGATGAACCTTGTATGCGGTATGTCTCAATAAGATGCAACTGACGTCAACAATGCAGTGTGGATAACGGTAAAATACACGGGTGGGCGTGAAGTAATAGCTGCAGCAGTAAGGATGAACCTTGTATGCGGTATGTCTCAATAAGATGCAACTGACGTCAACAATGCAGTGTGGATAACGGTAAAATACACGGGTGGGCGTGAAGTAATAGCTGCAGCAGTAAGGATGAACCTTGTATGCGGTATGTCTCAATACGATGCAACTGACGTCAACAATGCAGTGTGGATAACGGTAAAATACACGGGTGGGCGTGAAGTAATAGCTGCAGCAGTAAGGATGAACCTTGTATGCGGTATGTCTCAATAAGATGCAACTGACGTCAACAATGCAGTGTGGATAACGGTAAAATACACGGGTGGGCGTGAAGTAATAGCTGCAGCAGTAAGGATGAACCTTGTATGCGGTATGTCTCAATAAGATGCAACTGACGTCAACAATGCAGTGTGGATAACGGTAAAATACACGGGTGGGCGTGAAGTAATAGCTGCAGCAGTAAGGATGAACCTTGTATGCGGTATGTCTCAATAAGATGCAACTGGCGTCAACAATGCAGTGTGGATAACGGTAAAATACACGGGTGGGCGTGAAGTAATAGCTGCAGCAGTAAGGATGAACCTTGTATGCGATATGTCTCAATACGATGCAACTGACGTCAACAATGCAGTGTGGATAACGGTAAAATACACGGGTGGGCGTGAAGTAATAGCTGCAGCAGTAAGGATGAACCTTGTATGCGGTATGTCTCAATAAGATGCAACTGACGTCAACAATGCAGTGTGGATAACGGTAAAATACACGGGTGGGCGTGAAGTAATAGCTGCAGCAGTAAGGATGAACCTTGTATGCGGTATGTCTCAATAAGATGCAACTGACGTCAACAATGCAGTGTGGATAACGGTAAAATACACGGGTGCGTATGAAGTAATAGCTGTACCACTACAGATACCATTTTATGAACTCGGTAGTTTCTAGTCTTAACGGGTAATACATGGAGAATCTCACACAAGGGTCTACTGATGCCAGTTATATCAACACGAGATGATAAAGTTACATTTATCCGAGGCTTGCCGAGGATATTTTTATCAACGAGCATCAATATATTTGATATCAGAAGACACGAGGGTGAGATTCTATTTTTCATACAAAATCATTCTTCATTAATTCTCAATGAAACATTTACATCACTGAATACAGTACTGCCATTAGATTTGCAGTACAGCGATGTCATGGCGATGTGACTTCATCAAATTAATGTCGTCATAGTATTATCAGGGCATTGTACAAAATCTACTGTCAACATGACATCTCATTAGAGATATCGTTTTATCTCACACATGACACTCCAGTGAAACACAGTTTTGGATGATGAATTGAGGTACGAGCGTCATATAGATGCATGTGGATTAACACCACGTTAACTTACCTTGTCAAGAACTGCACTGCCCATGATCACAAATACATATCTAAATACTCAGTTCAGAGGTACAGACACAACCATCATGGTGACACAGAACTGCATAAAACACTACACCAGGAAGTGATTCAAGTGACAGGTAGGCAACACAAAGCCCGATTGAGTTGTGTGACCATAGAAGCTAAATAGAGCAAGTCGTCTCGTAATGTAGTAAAAATGACAGTGTGTGTTTTATTCACAGGGAACCGACCTCGTCGTATAAAGATATGAACCCATAATCTGGAGATATAAAATATATAAAAATGCCTAAATATGTGGAAGGTATGCATTCTGTCGCCCGGGTGAGTGTGTGATCAACTATCCCAGGTGAGATATAAAGGTACAACCATCATGGACTCCCCATTAACACCACACCGGGATGTGATATACAGGTACAACCATCATCGCCTCCCCATTAACACCACACCGGGATGTGATATACAGGTACAACCATCATGGCCTCCCTATTAACACCACACCGGGATGAGATATACAGGTACAACCATCATGGCCTCCCTATTAACACCACACCGGGATGTGATATACAGGTACAACCATCATGGCCTCCCTATTAACACCACACCGGGATGTGATATACAGGTACAACCATCATGGCCTCCCTATTAACACCACACCGGGATGTGATATACAGGTACAACCATCATGGACTCCCTATTAACACCACACCGGGATGTGATACCACACCGACAGGTACAACCATCATGGACTCCCTATTAACACCACACCGGGAAGAGATATGCAGGTACAACCATCATCGACTCCCCATTAACACCACACCGGGAAGTTATATACAGGTACAACCATCATGGACTCCCCATTAACACCACACCGGGATGTGATATACAGAGACAACCATCATGGCCTCCCCATTAACACCACACCGGGAGTGATATACAGAGACAACCATCATGGCCTCCCCATTAACACCACACCGGGAAGTGATATACAGAGACAACCATCATGGCCTCCCCATTAACACCACACCGGGAAGTGATATATACAGGTACAACCATCATGGCCTCCCCATTAACACCACACCGGGAAGTGATATACAGGTACAACCATCATGGCCTCCCCATTAACACCACACCGGGATGTGATATACAGGTACAACCATCATGGCCTCCCCATTAACACCACACCGGGAAGTGATATACAGGTACAACCATCATGGCCTCCCTATTAACACCACACCGGGATGTGATATACAGGTACAACCATCATGGACTCCCCATTAAACACCACACCGGGATGTGATATACAGGAGACAACCATCATGGCCTCCCCATTAACACCACACCGGGAAGTGATATACAGAGACAACCATCATGGCCTCCCCATTAACACCACACCGGGAAGTGATATACAGGTACAACCATCATGGCCTCCCTATTAACACCACACCGGGATGTGATATACAGGTACAACCATCATGGACTCCCCATTAACACCACACCGGGATGTGATATACAGAGACAACCATCATGGCCTCCCCATTAACACCACACCGGGAAGTGATATACAGGTACAACCATCATGGCCTCCCCATTAACACCACACCGGGAAGTGATATACAGGTACAACCATCATGGACTCCCCATTAACACCCACACCGGGATGTGATATACAGGTACAACCATCATGGACTCCCCATTAACACCACACCGGGATGTGATATACAGGTACAACCATCATGGACTCCCCATTAACACCACACCGGGATGTGATATACAGAGTACAACCATCATGGCCTCCCCATTAACACCACACCGGGAAGTGATATACAGGTACAACCATCATGGCCTCCCCATTAACACCACACCGGGAGTGATATACAGGTACAACCATCATGGCCTCCTATTAACACCACACCGGGATGTGATATACAGAGACAACCATCATGGCCTCCCCATTAACACCACACCGGGAAGTGATATACAGAGACAACCATCATGGCCTCCCCATTAACACCACACCGGGATGAGATATACAGGTACAACCATCATGGCCTCCCTATTAACACCACACCGGGAAGTGATATACAGGTACAACCATCATGGACTCCCTATTAACACCACACCGGGATGTGATATACAGGTACAACCATCATGGCCTCCCCATTAACACCACACCGGGATGTGATATACAGAGACAACCATCATGGCCTCCCCATTAACACCACACCGGGAAGTGATATACAGGTACAACCATCATGGCCTCCCTATTAACACCACACCGGGATGTGATATACAGGTACAACCATCATGGCCTCCCCATTAACACCACACCGGGATGTGATATACAGGTACAACCATCATGGCCTCCCCATTAACACCACACCGGGATGTGATATACAGGTACAACCATCATGGCCTCCCTATTAACACCACACCGGGAAG